TCCAGGACAAGCAAGCTACATAAATATAACACCTCAGTGCAATTCCAATGCAAACAGGCTTTGAAACTAGAAACTGGAACATTTTCAGAAACCTTAGATTTTGCAAGATTTGATCAGTCTGTGAGTTAACAATCAGTTGGCTCTGGCCATTTGTCTCCATTTCAATGACAGGGTGACCAAGAAATTAATTTTATGTGGAAGAAATCTTGATTGAACAAAACAACAGCACTCGAGCTATCCTCTTTTCAGCTCTCCTGGAAAGTTAGGAGACTTTGCCAGACACAGGAGTCTTAGTCTACTCTAGTTTAATCAAGAGACAGGCCCAGCTTCCAAATCAGGGGCTTGTAAAGGCAGGATGAAGACATTTTTATTCTCTGCTGGAGTAGATGGGGCGTTTAGAGCCTTAGAGCACAGACCCATCCTGAATTTAGAAGAGCCAAGTAGCACTTAAGGAACCTCGTCTGATGGTCCTTTCTCTGTTCCCAAGGTCTACGTTCAGGATGTCCTGCAGAGGCAGCTGGAGGCCGTGGTGTGTGAGGTGCTGCGGGGCCAGGGCCACGTGTACGTGTGCGGGGACGTGCGCATGGCCGGGGACGTGGCGCGGGCGCTGCGCGCGCTCATCGCCAGGGCCCTGCGGCTCAGCCAGCAGCAGGCACAGGAGTACTTCTTCCAGCTCAAGGTATGCTCTGACACACGGGGCATTCTGTCCAGCCAGTGCCCAGGGGGTGTCCCAGCAGCCTGCACAGCCACACTGCCGTGAGCTCCTCTGCAGCCCAGAGCACAGGAGCCAGGGCTCAGTCCCCACGGTGACTGCACAGGAGCCAGGGCTCAGTCCCCATGGTGACTGCACAGGAGCCAGGGCTCAGTCCCCATGGTTACTGCAGGCGCGGTGTTGCTCTGCTCAGGGGGTGACACTGACTCTGCAGCTCTTCCCTTACACCTGCTCTCTTCCCTGCTGTCTCCCTGGGGGTCCTGGAGATCAGCTTTGCAGTGGGTCAGGAACATGAGACTTTATTGTACCAACAGGCACATGGTGGGATTGTTGGGGTGTCTGTGCAGGGCCAGGGGTGGGACTGATGATCCTGATGGGTCCCTTCCAACTCAGCATTTTCTGTGATTCCATGAAGAGAGGAGAGTGAGGTTAGGAATTTAGAGGGCCCATCACTGAGAACACAGTGCCTGCGGCTGCTGCTTTTCAGGACACTCTTGTTATCAGAACTCATCCTGGAGCACGTGTGCCTGGGAGAGGTCCCTTTCACTGACAGTAACAAAAGTCTATGATCATAAAAACAGTCCTACACATGCAAAAGGCCTTTTAGCTACTGAACTGATATGTACTGGCAGGACTTAATTCATCTCTTGGGTGTCCTTTCTTCTTTTTGCAGAGCCAAAAGCGATACCATGAAGATATATTTGGGGCTGTGTTCCCACATGAAGTCAAAAGAGCTTTAAAACCCACCAGTTAAAGAAAAAATCCACTTCTGTTTTAGACAATACTTGCACATTTGTTGTTACTTTCAAAAAACATGGAGTCAAATCCTTTTTCATATACATGTTCAATAGTGCACATATATAGGATTGTAGGATTTGACTCTTAAACCTCAGCCTTAATTAAGAAAAGCACTAAATTTAACTTTTGTTGCTATTTATTCTGACACTCTTTTAATAGTTATCTTAATAGTGAAAATACAAATTATTTTTTAATGTTGTCTATGCTAGTATAAATCTGGTATTTTTTGTAAATAAAAGGATAATGTAGAGTTTTGTACTATGTTAACTGGAGCTGAAACCTTCTTTTGAAATGTACTGTTTATCTTTGTGACTTTATTTATATCAGATTGGTTTACTTGCATATTATCTTCACTTGGAAGCAAGTGAATGGATGGTTGTGTTACTGGGAGTTGTCTGGCCACAGGCCTTGCTGGATCTGGAGCAACATTTGCAAATGAGATAATGATGTGCTGGTCCCAGGTGGAAACACCTGCATCTGCTTCAGATGTATCTGTTGAGCAGGTAGTAGTGTTGAATTGTGCTTTGTGTGATTCAGGTACATGAACCTGAGTTGTTGTTACACAGCCTGTGGCAGGAAGGTTCTGAAAATTCCAAAGCACTTTCTTACATTTGAATCCTATGCTCTGGTTTACTTGATTTGTTTGTAATAAAAGTTGCCTTTATACCGAGACAAGCAAGTTGGTGTGAATCAGTGTTCCTCTTCTTGCTCTTGGCTTCAGCCTGAACAGGCAGAGGTAGCTAAGTCAGCTCTCAGGTTCTGCTAAGGCAGGTTTGGGCTCCAGCCAACTCTTCTCCATGAGGACAGGGCCTGTCCCCAGGGTTATACAGTCTGCCTATGGTCAGTTTTGCATTTTTGTTACTGCCAGGGAAGTGGGAGTTCACACCAGAGACTGTGAGACTGGCCTGCAAACTGCCTTCCTTGGTGTGGGCTTGGGCTCTTTCTAGGCCTTGCACTTATGTCAGAGCTTCTGCTTCCTTCTCTAAGGTTACCAGGGCTATCTGATCATAGTAAAAAAGCTTAAGGTGAGATTTTCCTACCATCCCTCTTCTCCAGGAGCTGGAATCTGATGAAGGCAGAGTTGAGCCTCAAAAGTCAGCAGTGCCATGTGTGTACAGTGGTTTTCCCATGTGCTTCAGGACAGCCTTATCCATAGGATCCAGGACACAGCACAGATGAGAGGACATGGACAGTGATGGCAGAGAGCAGGAGGTGTCAGAGAACAGCAACAGAGAGTAAGGACAGAGGAGGTTCCTGGCAGGTAGGGAGCCCTGATGGGCACTGAGTGCACACACTCCAGTGTCATTTCATACTTGAATTGATGTGTTCTGGGTTTAGGTTTGTGGGGTGGGATGGAAATGGAATAGGGTAATTGCACTTTACCTTAAGGAAGTGAGCCCTGGATTCATTCACAGGAGTCCAGCAAAAGCAGGAAACGGGGGATAAGTTCCAAACTGGAGAGAGTGAATGCACCCAGACCTGCACAGCCCATTTTCCATGCACATGGCTAAATAGGGGAATTCCTGTGCCAGGATTGGTATCTCAGGTGTCTTTTCAAAGAAATCTCTTACTTCAGCACATCACCATAACCCTTTATAGAGGCTTGTTTGTGCAAACAGGACACAGTGCACTTTCATTTGGAGGGTCAGAAGCTCAGGGGAAAAAAGTCCCACTGTTTGTACCAGGCTGAGGGGTCAGCCCCTGCCAGGCAGAGGGAAAAGGGACAGGTGAGGCTCATAAGGGAGAGCTGAGGGCTGATGAGGGGCAGGTGAAGCTCATAAGGGACAGGTGAGGCTCATAAGGGAGAGCTGAGGGCTGATGAGGGGCAGGTGAAGCTCATAAGGGACAGATGAGGCTCATAAGGGACAGGTGAAGCTCATAAGGGAGAGCTGAGGGCTGATGAGGGGCAGGTGGGACAGGTTCTGTGGGACAGAGCCTGGCAGAAAATGGCTGTGCTGGGATAAGGTGCAAGGCCAGTGAGCTGTGGGACCTGGGAGGCAGAAAAAGGTCAGGTAGGTGAAAGGCTTCTTTTTTTAGTGTTGTTTTTCCTGACAATGCTGTGTTATATTGTCCATGTGCAAAGGGGTTCTGCTCTGGGTGGGAAGGAGTCTCCCCTGCCCCAGTTACCCTGCTGGGAGCCAGGGCTGGGCTGAGAGGAGAGGGCTGGAGCTGCTGCCTTGGGTGAGAGGAGCAGGCTGACCTCTGAGGAGGAGACTGGGATGTGTTGTGTCTGCCTTTCCTGGATTCTACTCCAGTCAGTTTGTTTGAAGCCTGAGCTTTGTGGGTTATTTGGTGCCTCCTTTGAGTGAACCCCTATTTCTGAGGTGTTTGGTGTGTCAAGCACCCAGCAGGTCTGGTTGGAAGGTTTAAAATGCCCTCGAGCATTACAGTGCAGCTGTATGGTCCCTTTTGGTGGAGTTGGATGGTCCCTTTTGGTGGAGTTGGATGGTCCCTTTTGGTGGAGTTGGATGGTCCCTTTTGGTGGAGTTGGATGGTCCCTTTTGGTGGAGTTGGATGGTCCCTTTTGGTGGAGTTGGATGGTCCCTTTTGGTGGAGTTGGATGGTCCCTTTTGGTGGAGTTGGTCTCCCTTGGGCTGTGGGTGTTGGCTGCTCGTGTTCCTGGTTCCAGGGGCTCTCTCAGTGGAGGGGCCTCACTCTGTCAGTGCCTTGGATAACCCAGGGCAGTTCTGGGGTACAGCCATGGGCCAGTAAACATCAAACTGCTCCGAGTCACAGCTGGGGCAGAACCTTCGTGCTTGGGGATGGGAGTTTGTGTATTTTGATTTTTTAAATCCAACACCTCTGCCCTTCAATTTTAATTGAGAACTAAATTACTCTTTATGAAAGACAACAAAGTTTAATTTATCTTAAGCTTTTTATTGCTTGCATATGAGAGATGTAGATAAGATGGATGATATGTAAAGTAGTGCTTTTATGATGCCTCAGGCCATTCCTGGCAGGACAGCACAATGCCATCGTTATTCCCACGCAAAGCCTTTGGCAGCAGCAGAACATTCCCGGGATTAATTAACACTCAGCAATGGCACTTCCAGTGCAGAGCAGGGTCTGGCTGGCAGAGCTTTGCCCCACTCTGCAGGTGGGAAGGTGGGGACAGAACCTTGTGCAAAGGAGGGAAAGGTGCTGGGAGTCCCAGAATGGCCTCCAGTGTGTGTGGGGCAGCTGCTCAAATAGTTCAGTGCTTCAGGAAAACTAACCATTTAATAATGTGGCTCATCATATCTGGAAGGGAAAACTTTGATAATTGCAAATGGACTCAACATCTCTTAAAGTGGCCTCTGTCTCCTGGTGTCTCTTGGGCTCTCTGGAGTGGCAAAGGGAATGGGAAATGCCAGGAATCCCCTTCTGCTGCAGGGCAGGAGCAGAGGGTGAAGGAGCTCGGTGTCGGGGGGGTTACTGTGAGAATCTGCTCCTCTCTACTTCAGCTGCAAGGAGATGGGCAGGGAAAGGTCAAACCACGACTCAGTAACGCTCACTTTATCCAGAGCAAAGATTTATTCACTGAAAAGATTCCTACATATCCAGAATTCCAGTAGCATAGAGTGCACTCTTAGGGTTTTTTTCTTTTTTTTTCTTTTGCTGGTTGCATAAACTAATACAGAAACTGTTGTTAATCCTAACAATTTGTAATTAATTTAATAGCAATTCTGGAAGACAGTTCATAGAAAATATAAAAAAAAATTTGTACTGTACAAAGTTTACATCACATTTGAAAAGAAAACGTGTCCATGTTCACCATGTTACAGACCATTTACATTCACTACTGACATGTGGCTCCTGTAGCAGCATTGTCACAGCTCCAGCGGGAGGGGACAGGACGTGTGACATGAACACAACCCAGGGACTGGCTTGGTTTGCTGAGGGACAGCAGAGCCCTGACCCCCAGGCCCTGTGGTGGCTCAGCCCAGTGCCACTGATTGACACAAAAATAACCCCAGAGACAGGAACTGGTCTGTCCTCTGGGCTGCACTGGGACCAGAGGCTGGGCTTGGTGTTGAAGGGCAATTTATGGGAGTTCCACACACCACCCAGGTCAGGTCAGATTAGAATGCCAAATTCTGTTAGGGGCAGGTTTTGAACAACCCCCCGTGCCCAGGACTGCAGCAGGGCATGTTCCCAGCTCGGTGGGACACGTCTCAGTGTCCAGCACACTGACCTGGGGCACAGAGGGGCAGGAAGGGTCCCCACAGCCAGGGTTTGAACTGCATGTGAGGGCAGTTGCAGGAAGGACAAATGGTGACAGTCTGTTGGGTTTTTTAATTCTTTGTTTCAATCTGGCTGCACACCCAGTGCTGGATGTGCTTCCCCAGCCTGGCCTCTGAGACAGAACCTGAGCACACGCTGAGTTCCCACCTGAGCATCCCGGGTGTCCCCGACATGGACTGAGCCCAGGGGCTGCAAAGGGACAGGCTGGAGGAAGCCCACGGGGGGTTCCAGCCGAGAGGCAGCACTCCCTGCTTTGGGTTTGTGCTGTGCTGCTGTAATTTAAGCAGCACTTGTGGGAAAACAACTTCTGCTTAAAGCTGCTGACACAATTACTGAGAGAAAACAAACAGTAGCGAGTCCTGCGGAGCCCGAGGGTGCAGGTGAACCTGCTGTGCCAGGAGGGGCTTGATTTGCCTTTACCAGGGGAGAGGAAGGGGAGCAGAGAGGACTGCCAGGCCACACCTGGCCATGCCAAACCCATTTCTCTTTTATGTCCAAGACACATTTCAAAAGTCTGTCTAAACACTTGGAAGAGGCTACAGCTGACACACAGGAGTGAAGGTCTCTGCTCAACAGAACTCAGGTTTTGTGCCACTTAGTTCCCCACACAAGGCAGCCGAACCAAGGGCTGGCACTTTGGTTGCCCACAGGATTTTAGAGCTTCCCTCCTCAAGCTTCAGGTGAAATCCTTGTGATGGTGGGGAAGGGGACCTGGGGGGTGTAATGAGCTGCAGCAGTTGGAGAAATGAAACCTGGCGAGTCCCAGGGAGCCCTAAGGACCTGTCTCAGCAAAACCAGGGCTGCACAGACAAGAACAGACAAGGGTTGTGGGGTACTGGGGGTCCTCCTGCAGAAGCTGAGGAACATGGATGGGAAGCACGAGGGAGCCTCTGGTAAGAGAGACTGCAGTTAATTGGCAAGAGGATGATGAATCCATCACCTCAATGTGGTCACTGGCTGCTGGCTCCATAACCCCCACACTGTGCACTGAAGGGGGGGTGTGTGTTTTTGGTCTTAAAACAAACCTTTGAAACAAGTCTGAGCTGTTGGACTGAGGCAGGGCCTCCAGACCCTTCCTGGTTGCAAGATTTCTGTTGTTCTTAAGTTTTTTACCCAAAACAACTGCTGGAGTCCTGTATTTTTCGCAAAGAGCTTGCAGGTTTAAATGGGACTGATGGTAGGTGGTGGCAACACTGTGTATGTGCAATGACTCTGAAGCTCTTAACAAGCTCGGTGCATCAAGGCCTGACAATGCATTTTTAGGGCCAGCTTTTCCCTTTTCCTGTCCCTCTTGCCAGGTACACTCTGGTCCCTGAGCAAAGACAATCCCATGATGGGTTTGCCTTTCCCCATGGGAGGAGAAACCCACACTGACTTCCCCGTGTGTAGGATGGGGACCTCCTCTCCTCCCCCAGTGTGCAGGGGTTTCGTTTGGGCAGGACCAGGGTGGTTGGCAGATTCCCTGGTGCTGACCAGCCAAGAGGCTTCAGCTAAATTTGCCTCCCAATGCTTCCATGTCCCATGACCTAATGCTCTTAACATAGTCTTCAACAGCCCATTCTACCTCTCAATCTTCCCAGAGGCTTTGGGTGATCAGGGATGTGATAGATCCACTTGATGCCCTGTTTCTTTGTCCAAGAGCTTATAAGATGATTCTGAAAGTGAGTCCCATTATCTGATTCAATTCTCTTTGGGGGTCCCATGTCACCCTGCAGCTCTGGAAAATGTGTTTTCTTCTACAGCTGCAACAGTGATGGGGCTGGAAGGGTCGAGGCTGTTGGACAGTGTTATGTTTCCAGAAATGCCACAACTTTAGGGGACTGGAACTTGTGCCTAAATTTCAAAAGAAGAATTTGCCCTCTGTGCAGAGCTGTGACATGTCAGGGGTTTATTTTTAAAAGCCAGCAAGTCTCAATTCCTCTGGGATTGTATGAGAAGGAGCAGGTTTTAGTGTGAGTTCTGTGGAGAAGAGCACTTGAGTCACTGACTGAGCCAGCCCCCATGGCAGGCACTCCTGCAGCAGGACATCTGTGCTGAGTTCAGGGTGACCCAGAGCTGGACCAGCCCTGCTCAAACAGACCTCGGGGCTCAGTGCCTGCTTTGGGCAGGTCCCAGTGCAGCAGGCTGGGCTTTACCTCCATGAAGGAAACCCCTCTCTGGGAGGCAGTGCCTCGTAGGAGCCACGTCGCTGTTCTGCAGCAACTGTCCCCCAGCTCAGGGAACCCACAGCTCCCAAGGCAGAGCCTGGCTCCTACTGACCACAGACACAAGGAGGAACCAGAAACTCTTCTTCTATCTCAGTGCTATTTGAGAATGGCTGTAGTTAAACTTGATTCACTGTTTATTATGTTTAAAAAAATATAGTTCACACAAAAGTATCATGTAAACATTGTTTAAATAACTGCTGGTGCTCAGGCAGGACACGGGGCTGAGCTGATGGTCTTCAGAGGGGCTGCACCAGCCTCGGCACGGAGGAGCCACTGAGGGTTTCTGGTGCTGTGTGGGAGCAGAAACAGGTCACAAGGACACCGGGCTACAGCTTTGGGTTACTCGGCTCCAGGATCCCCAAGCCAAATCTTTCAAAACGCAGGACAACTTTGCTACTGTTAATGCTGCAGAGAGTGGGGAGGGAGAGGAGAAGGGAGGGGGGAAAGTGTTACTGATAATTCTTCTTAAAGCTACAGCCCTATCCAAGGAGCTGAAATAGGTTCGGTTCTGCTCTCGTACCACCCAAAAGAGGCTCAAGTAATTAAGCAGCAAACACATGAAGTTATTCATGTGAACCCCATCGGTGGGAAGAAACACACAGACAATCTGATTTGCTCAAGCAGGAGGAACAGGAGGTTTTCCCAGGTACCCATAGTGGGGGGAAGCCTGACACTGGTTTTCAGGGAACACTTGGTTCCCTTGAAGTAGAAGGGAATCAAAAACCGACAGAATTCTCTTTGTAAGAGAAAGGGGGGGTTTGACAAGGTACATGAATAGGTTAAAAAAAGCCCAACAGAACAAACCTAAACCCCTTTGCTCTTCTATAAAGGTGCATAAAGGTGTCTCTCCCCTTGCTCTTGCACTGTTGACAGAGCCAGAAGCACTTCCAGCTCAGAGCCTTCCCCACGGGGGTGGCAGCAGAGCACGGAGGAGACTCAGGGAGTGGATGTGGGTGTTTGTCCTCAGACAGCAGAAACCCTGCTGGCTCTTAGTGCATGTTCTCCTCTGCCCCTCTCCTGTCCCCTCCAAAGCAGTGAAAAAAGACCTTTTCTGAAAGGCACGTGTTTGCTGTGGTACCTGTGACTGTGCCAAGCCCCCCGGAGAGTCGCTCTGCTGACCAGGGGATGTAAACAGAAGCAAACCATAACATTCCAAGCACTACATCTGCGAGGGGAGGAGGAGCTGAAGGGCTTTCCTCCTCTTTTACACAGCGTTGTAGCTGATCCCAGCTGAGCCCCACGGGCCTGTTCTGGACACTGCCCATGGCCTGCTCCCAGTGGGCTAAGGACCGTCAGCTGCTCCAAGTGGAGCAAGGACCATCCTTCTTTCCACTCAAGAACTGGCCCTGGCTGCAGTGCTGCCCCCCTGGCCCTCAGCTCCTGCTGGTTTGCAAGTGGAGGTTCAGTCCTGGCTGTGCCAAGACAATGTCCCTGTCACCTTCAGCCACAAAGCCCCAGTGCTGAGGACCCGCTGGGCAGGACACCCAGCCCAGGCTGGCACAGGCACCTGGTCAGGCAGGGCAGGTCCCTGCACCTTCCCAGGGGAGTCACAGGCTCCTGGAACGCTCCAGAGGGAGAGGAGGCCGCGGTGTTAGGCAGGAAGGTCTCGCAGACAGGAGTGGTTATTGAAGCAAACAGCCCACACCAAGCAAAGGCAGAAAGGAGGACTTGGATAAAGTGTTGATTATGTCCATGGGTTAATTTCGTGGTTTGTTTTTGCTTTTTTAATGGAAGGTGATTGTCCAAGTTGCTGGTTAGGATACGACACATGGAAGCATGCAAGGTGGAGCCCGTTATTGCACCAGTAGCTACAACCTACAAAGAAATATGGGAGGGAAGGGAAAAAGTCACCATGAGAGTTAGTTTTCAGTTATTTAAAGCAAGCCCTTGAGAACTAAATATTGCAAAGCTTTGACCAGGCTGGAGCAGGGGTTAGTGCACCGTGTGAAAGGATCTGTCAGAGGGGAGGGACACATGTCTTCAGGGCCCTTCCCCTGCTGTTGGTGGATACTCCCTGACACCAAAGAGCTGGATCAGTTTGGATCTGCTGGAGGGGGGCGAATATGGCGAAGCAGGCAATGAACTGACTGAGGTGGCTTAACTGCATCATTTCCCAGAGCCAGAGAAGCAGAAGAGCACAGTGTTCCCCTCCTGTCTGGTCTGACAGCCCCCAAGAAGGCAAAAAAAGCTCAGAAACGGTCATTTACATGGAGTGACATAACTGCTGGGAACAGCAGCAGGTACTCACTCAGCAGACTTCCAGAAGTGCCCCGGGTGGGAGAGCCGGCGGTTCAGTTTTGGCAGTTTTTCAAGCATATCCATGAGGACAGTGAAGCTGGGCCGCTCGCTCACGTCGAAGGCCCAGCACGCCGAGAGGATTTCCTGCACAGGACATTTGGGGCTCGTTACCTCACTTGGCTCACAGGCCAGCTGTGCAGACCAGAAAGCTGACTGAGCACTGAGACGTGTGTGAGCCCAGGCAGACACTGACTGCTCAACATAGGGCCTGGACACCCTTACAACCCAACAGTTTCCTGGTGCTGGGGAATGTCCACTTCTGCACAACAGCTGGAAGCACAGGCTTAGCCTCTAACCTGGCCTGCCATTCTCACCTGTTCTCTTTCCTGCCCTTTATCTTTAGAGTTATGAGTGAAATAAATCTCTTGAAGCAGCTCCCCTCTTCCTGAGAGACAGCTGTATGGAAGGACTCCTGCCCCGGGGTACTTACGTTGACCTCCTTGCCCAGACTGACGGTTGCCAGGAGCTGCCTGACGCCCTCGCCGCTGCCGATCTGCCAGATGAGTGCCTGGGCAGGCTGGGTCCTGAACGGCCACTCCCGGGCCTGCAGCTCGTACCACACCGTCCTGCAAGGCCAACACACACATCAGGCCTTTGCCTGCCCCAGGGGAACACACCAAACCCTGACACTGCTCCAGCCTCTCCAGCTGAGCTATGGAAGGCGCACAAAGCTGTGCAGCAAACTCCTCCCACCATGACTGTTGCAGTACTGAGGAAAATGCATCCCAGCTGGAATCCCCAGCCTGGGAGAAGGGGATCCCTGACTGGAAGGCTCAGGCCTGTAACAAATCTCACTTAGCAAGCTCTCATGATACTCTCGGGTGTTCCTTCCTTACCCAAAGGCATAGATATCTGCAGCTTTGGAGAAAGGCAGCTTGTCTTCATCTTTCCCTGGGGCCATCTCACGGACGATCTCGGGGGCCAGGTAGCACAACCAGTCATGAGGCAGCTTCAGTTCATTCTCCCTCCTGAGTCCAAAAGAAAGCAGCAGTACTGAAACACTGCTGTGTAGGTCGTATCTGTGCTTCACCCGATGCTTTGACTTTATTTACTCAAATGTTTTTGCTGACTATTTGTTTCTCATTTTCTTGCCACGTTAACAAATAAGCACGTCAGCCTGACTCTCCAGCCCACTCCTGGGCTTAAAGTTTTGTTTGTTCTGTGCTCTGAGTCTTAATCCATCCATAACTTTCTAGCTCTGTGCTGCTGGAACTGTAGGAAGAAATCTGCTCAAAAAGAAAACAAAGCAAAAGTGCAGAGTGCAACCTGAGTGTGCACTAAAGCACCTGACTCTCCTCGGTACCAGGTACTGCAGGAACCGTTTCCCTACTTGATCATCATTTGTCATTCTAAAGCTGAACCAAGCAGTGAAACCTCTGCTCACCTTCCTTCCTGAACCACACCCGAAATTCCAAATAATCCAAAGTCGGTGATCACAACTTTGCCATTGTCATAGAAAACATTCTTGGATTTCAGGTCCTTATGTACGATGCCCTTTGCGTGGAGATACCCCATGCCCTGGGAAATACAGCAGAGATGGAAATGTTGGAGGGGTTGGTATTATTGCCAAGCACACTTTGCTTTCTAATACAAACTCCCTCTCATACCTGCAGTGTAAAGGATTAGCTGGGGACAGGGCACTTGTGGGACTTGTGCAGGATGGTGTAAGGGAGCAGCTCCCAGCTCAGAGTGCAGCCCCCAAGCTCTGGCCCGGTGGCTCCGTTGGCATAATGAGCCCTTACCTTGATGATCTCCTGTGCTATCTGCCTGGTTTTGTTAATGTCCAGGGATATCTTGGGGTCCCTCACAAAGGAGTGCAGTGTCCTTCCTTTGCAGAAGCTACAGGAAATTTTTGCACATTAAAAAAAAAATTAGCTAGCTATATATAATATTTATATTTTAAAAATAATAGTAAGACGCTGTCCTTACCTGGTGATGATTGCTAAGTGAGGGGGGTTCATGCAGGCTCCCATGAACAGCACCACGTTCTCGTGCCGGGTCTGTCTGTAGTTCATCACCTCCTTTTTAAAGAGCTTGAGATGATCCTGGTTGTTGCCGTCGATCTCCAGCAGCCTGATGGCCACCTCCCCGTGCCACTTGCCCTTGTAGACCTTCCCCCAGCGGCCCTGGCCGATGGGGTCCCCCAGCTGGACCTGCTCGAAGGGGATGTCCCACTCCTGCAGGTACACGCTGGTCTGGCTGGGTTTGCGGTAGATCATCCCCTGCAGGTGCGGCCGCCGGTTCGGCAAATCCTCCACCTCGTCCTCGTCATCCTCGGGCTCCGATTTATTTGCCTCTGGTTCTTCCACCTGTTCACAGCAAGGGAAGGGAAAGGTGTGCTCAGAGTGCCACGGGGGGGGCAGAGCAGCCCAGCAGCTGCTCCGAGAGACATTCGGGGCCAACCCGCGAACCCACCTCTGCCTCCCGTCCAGCTCCGCCCGGGCCTGGCTGGGCAGTGCTGCAAGAGAAAATAACATCTGAAATCCACCTGAGGTGGAAAACCGAGGGGGCTGCATTGCCATTAGGGGAGGGGGAAGAAGCCAGCAGAGAACAGATCCTGGCAGAGTTATAGTAGGTCAGGCAAAAATGCAATTCCTGCTCCACATAACAGAGAAGGACTCTAAGCTCACTCTAGCAAACAAGGGACAGAGTCTGAAGTGATTCTCAATGATTAAGTGGCAGGAATTGATTTGGCAGTGGCTCTGTTATTACAGTGTGTTCCAGGAATGGATACTCCCATTCCTGCTCCTGCAAGCCCTGCAGTGGAGCAGCCCTGTGAGAGCTGGCAATGCAGGCTGCCAGCTTTTCCATGCCCTGCACTTCACATCCTGAAAGAGCTGTTTGCTGCAGCCCAGTGGGCCTTGCCCCTTGAGTTATAAAACTCCAACTTCTGTTGATCCCACCCTTCTGACCTGGGGACTGCACACCCCCCATGACCAGGTATTAAAGGCTTGGACTCCTTAGTGTCCCATTTAGAGTTAAGTGTCATATTCAGCTTTATAAAGCTGGGGATACCAGCATCACCCTTGCTGACTAAAATTATCTTGTGAGTTCTCAGATGTTAAGACCAGTTTTGGCCCTAACACAGCATTTCTGGACTGAGCTGAGGATTATCAGGTAAACACTGTGCAAACAAGAGGATTTCAAACTCTACTTACGTAGTGTCTGCAGCAGTTTCTGGAGGTTGTGCTGTTTGTGCAGGACTGGGAATTTCTGTGAAAGCAGAAACAGTGATGATACGTCTTTTACACTTCAATCTCATAGATTGCAAGTTTTAACATTGCAATACCAATTATTTCCTTCTTATTCAGGAATTATAAACTCAATTACAGACAAAGTGATTTTATACTTCTATTCATTTAAAACTATGCTCATCTCTCCTATCCATGTTGGCCCAGTCCTCTTCCCTGGCCAGGCACAGAACCCTAAAAGCGAGTCTTTTTAAAGGAGGAACATGGATGTGGATAGAAGCCAGAGCAGGAAGCTAATGTTGTACAGCTGAATATTCAAAGTTTCATCTCAGTACATAAATCACATCAATGCCCTGGCTCAGGGGAGAGAGAGGCCCAAGTATACACTGAGATAAGAGAAAGTCTGAATTGGTTTAGGCATGTTTTTTTAAAGCAGGATTATTGTTCTTTGGCAGCATGCAGAGGTTTACAAACAGGTTGTGTTTTGGCAGTAGAAGTTGGTTAGTAGAATTAAAACAATCAACTCACCTGGGAAGATAAACTGTTGTCTATGCTGAAGGTAGTAGGCAGCTTTTTAATTAATTGGGGTTTTGTAAAAGAACCGCAAAAAAAAAAATACCAGGAGAAAAAAACAAAACAACACAAACAAGTTAGAGGATCATCAGTGAGTGCCCCAAGTGCATTCCATGAATTAGTCCCAGCTCACTGCTGGGAACAGATTAGTAGATTATCAGCCTGCTGAGGGGGAATTCCAGCACATGCATTGGGAGGGCCCTGACAGAGGACAGGTATCAAACACAAGCTGTTACCAGTCACAGTCTGGGGGGCAAACAGCACATTCAGACCCCCCGTGGCAGAAGCAAATGTAGAGCCAGGAATGTCCAAGGCAGGCCCATGTGCTGCCTGGGACTGCTGCAGTGCTCTCTCATGTCAGCTTTGCAGAGGTGCCCCCCCAGAAGCTGAAGCTCATGAGCCATCTGCATTTTTTATTTCAGTTTTTTAATTTCTGAGTAGTTTGTCCCAATACAAAGTAGCTGCAGTGGAATCCTTACACTAAACTGGTTCTGTTCCTGCTCCTTTTGAGCACTCACAGTTCAGAACCTGATGCAAAATTCAGCAGTGTTGAAGGCCAGATGTAGCAGCTACTGAGCAGCATCTGACTTCAGTTCCACATCAAAGGAGTTACATTTATTCTCAGTATGTAAATCTTTGCCCTTGTCAGAAATTCTTGCCCCTCTCAGTTCTGGTAAAAGCTGCACACTGGGGCTCTTAATCCATAAGGTATGGAGGGTAAACTCTTCTCCACCAGACATCTGTGTCAATGGTTTAACAATGGATGTTGACTGTGGCTTATATTTTGGAATGGCCTGGTAAAGTCCTTCACTGCAGTTCTCATTTTTACAGCCTGCTCCCTGCCATCACCCAGCTCCTGATTTAAAGCCCCTGGTGAGCACACATAGCAGGCAGCATGCATTGTACAACACAAGGGGAAAGGCAGGAGAAAGAATATAATTTTATTTTAGTCCTTTTCCAAAAAGGAGAAAAGAGAAAGATCAAATCATTTAAGAAAGGTGCCAACATTCCTCAATAATCTGTTTTCTACAAAGGTCTTTTGCTGATACCCTTTAAAAACTTGTAAGAACAGACCATGTCCTTTTATCAGGTAACAAAATACACCTTCACACCTTGCTTAGGGCACAACCATGTACTCAGAAACCTTCAACTCCCTGGTCAGCCTCTACTTGCAGAGAGGCCTTTCTGCTCTGGCCAGGTCTCCTAAAGAGAGGAGTTTACCTGGGAAGTTAAAGCGCCCGTCCCTCTGGCCCATGGGAGAGGGGTTGGGGGGAGGAGTTGCACTGGGAGGGTTGGAAGACTGGAAAGGTGCTGGGGAAGATGGAGTAGATGAGGTTGTAGAGGAAGGATTACTGCTGGAGTCCAGGTGGTTTATTGCTGGTGGATGCTCCTGTAAAGCAAGGAAAATCACTGGTGAGAAAACAGTAAAAAGGACGAATTGCCCTCAGTGTTTGCTGGACAGCAGAGAGAGGGAAGTTGTTCCCAGCCTTGATCATGGCACTGTTTTTCTGAGTAAGCACCTGCAGCTGAGCACAAGCCATGTTTTACACAGAGAAAATGTCACACAGCAAAGTCTCCTGCAACGTGAAAGCTCAAGGTGCCATTTTGGCTCCAACCACCAAGATCCTGCTGCCACCACGTACCTTTTTAGTTAGTGCTTTGGGGAGAGTTCCAAACTGTGGTTCTGTGGGTCTGTCTACTGGATTATTGATATCAGAGGGGACAGACTCTGTTCTTCTTATTTTTGCTACTGAAAACAGGTTGAAGAAGGGAGAAAAACAGCTTAAATCAGAGTTCTTATTCTTGCTATACCATCAATTACATTGAAATGCCAAGAATTTGTAGAAAATTACTTACTGGGAAGGAAGGATATTCTACAAGCAGGTGCCTCTTTAGTACATTTGTTGTGACATTTTAATCTGAAAGAGAACCATTACATGTTAGATAAGGACTTGTTCTTTCCCAAAAAGAGGAAGCCTATCCTTAATTTGTAATTCTTATGGTAATCTCAGAGGGAGTTCTGGAATGCCCAGGCCCCAAAGCAGCAGCATTCATATGGAGAATCCTATTATGTGTGTCATTAGACTCATGAAGGCCATACACGTTTCTTAGCATCTGATTTATTTTTAATATAGCTACTTTCACTGACTCTCATCCAGCAACAGTGAAGCACTAAAATCTCAGTGCTCTGGACTAACAACCCAGAGAGAGAAGCAAAATTTAAAATCCTGGCTGTTATTTAGGGATCCAGCTCCCACTGCAAGATTTGCCCAGGATGAGGTAGGAAGTCTGTGGCAGGGAAATAAATTTGGTTCATTCATGTGTCAGGCTGACAACCTGAAGTGTGAGTTGTTCCAAAGCATCCCTTTGCTAGGTCAGAAGGACTGAGAAATGGTGCCACTGCCAAGAGTGCATCCCACCAAGAGCTGTGTTACTGCAGGTTGTAATGAATCCAATTCCAGGCTGTTGTGACCATCCCTGCGTGCTCACCTGCAGTACTTACACTTCACCCCGAACATCATGCTCTTCTGACAGACTTGGCAGATCTGAGACAGCCAGGACTTTGTAGAGAACCTGAGTAGAGACAAGGGGAGAAACTGGTGTTAACTGGTGCCTAAGGGAAAATGAACCTTTGTGGGTAGTTACAGGCTGTACTTGAGCTCTTTGTGAAAGGGGCAGGGGGTGGTTGGTGCAGAGCCCTGGCTGGGCTGATCCAAACCCACCTCAGAGCCGTGTCCCCCTGGGCTGTCCCTGTGCTGCTCACCTGTGTGTCACTGTCCCCTGGGCTGTCCCTGTGCTGCTCACCTGTGTGTCACTGTCCCCTGGGCTGTCCCTGTGTCCCCTGGGCTGTCCCTGTGCTGCTCACCTGTGTGTCACTGCCAGGCCAAAGTCTCTTCGTACCGTCTGAGGGGATCCCTGGGAGAGCTCTGGTGGGGAACAAAAGGAGGGTTTAGGGAAGCATTGCCCACACCTGCTCACCAGTGTGGACAGAAACCAAATGGTCACTGCCACAGTCAGCCCCAGCAGCCCAGAGTGTCAGCACCACAGCTCAGACTGTTGCTGCAGAGCTGCTGCAGCTCCTGCCCTTGCACTGGTTTCCATTGATTTGATAAATCGTGATGGTTTACATTTAGGGATTACAGAAGTCCATCTGATCAGGTCTAAGACATTCTTAAAGTGGAAAGTCAGACTTTATTCCTAACTGGTTTACTTCCAATTGGTTTACCACAAATACCATCAGCCAGTTTTCCTGCAGTGTCAGCAGATTTCAGAATGTTCTTTTTCACTGAAAATTATCTCAGTTTTCCAGACGGGGTCAGCATGACCCAGGATAAAAATGTATATGTGAGCTCACTTAGTGAGCTGGTAAGTGCAGAAAGGGAGACCTAGACTTCAAAAGGCCAATCCAGCACTCCAGTGGTTAGAGCACATAACTTTCTGAAAACTCTCAAATACTCAGATTTTGGCATATTTCCTGAACTAAATCTATCTAAATATTCCAAATCTGGACTAAACTCAAATCTGCAAGTGTCAGCACAGCCAGGGCTGTTGGTGCTTACACAGAGCCAGTCTCTCACTTGACCCTAGATGGCACCAGATTCTTTTTAATCATTAGTCCAGTGAAGATTTAAAGGTGTCTGTGGTCTTCAGCCTCTTGGGCTGCAATGGTTAGCTGCTTTTGCAGGGAATATTGCTGGTCTAGTGTGGCCATCCAAATGCACAACCATCCAGATGGATCCCAACACAACTTCAGATGGCTGTTAACATGGGGTAAGATGGATAAATCCTCACTGAAGAGTTCTAATGAATATAAACCAGCTTGGGATTGACTGGGACTCACCAGCCCACAGCAGAGATCTTAACCCAGCCAATATGACTGCATGCAGAAAAGCACTGAAATCCTTCATTTCTGTCTGAATTTATTCTAATGCTTTTTTCATTCATTGCACAAATTATGTCACTCTCCACAGGGAAATGCTCAGATTGCTGCTGGCATTTTCATTTTATAATCTTCCATTCCTGGAAGTAATTCCTGGGGTTTTTGTTTTAAGGGGCATTGGATATATGTGCAGTGCTATACTGTCCTTATTTAGACTTTTATACTTTTTTTAATGCTTTGATGCTTTTGCACCCTTTCCAAGCTGCTCCAATGTCTCTCCATTAAGTCCCAAGGTTCCAGGTTGTGTCTGGGACACACACCCCTCAGAGTAGCTGGAACTCCCAATAGCATGGGCATGGCACTGGATAAAAACACAGCCCTGGTCCTGTCAGACATTAACCACGTGAACAGACTCCTCAGCACCAGGGGAATATTCCACATTCCAGCACTTGCTGAAGCTTTCTCAGAAGGCTGCACATAACTGTCTAATTTCATTGCAGAGACACTGGGCAGTGAATATCCAAAGACACCAAATGGTTAGATATGACATTTCTAGTACCAAAAGGCATCAGTACCAGCTGTCTGAGGTAGAGACAAGCACTTACACCCAAACCCCTCCCTTTAACCCTTGAAACATCACTATTCCTTTTCCTTGCTGTTGTCATCTGAAAAAACATCAGGTACAAAAAAGTAAAAGCCCTGCAGTTCTGCAGCAGGCCAAGCTCCTGCTCAGGTAACAGAAACTCTGGGATAGGAGGGCCTGAGGAGACCCTCCAGAGGCTGCACAGGGATGACCAACAGGGAGCTGACAAGCACAGGTTCTTCTTTCTCAGCAAGGCACTGCAGACACCCCCAGAAGAGTCTCTTACCGAACCTAGAAAGAAAAAGAGATATATTTTTTTTAGCCACCATATTCCTGTGACAGGATTCACACTGGGCTAGAACAGGAACTGCTGCCTGCAGCATTTGCTGTCAGGTTTGCAAACAGCCCTGGTTTTGCACAGGCTCCTGAAGCTGCTGCAGTGCCAGCACTGTCCTGCCTACACGTGGCACAGTTTGGTGGGGAGAGCTCCAGCTCCAGTCTGGGAAAGAACTTACTTTATTGGAGGAACTTCATCTATCCTGTTTCCCAGCTGTGATTCGTGGGACTTGCTCCTCGTGAGGGTCGGGAAGTTGGGCAGCAGCTGGAAAACCTTCCGGCAAGGGGGGGGAGGAGTCCGTGGTGGCTTCAGCTTGTGGCGCCGCTTGGCCTGCGGGGTGGCCGGGGGGGTGATGGTGATGCTGTGAGTCCTGGGTGCCAGCCTGCCCTGGGCCGGGGGCACCGGGGGCTCCAGGAGGCTCTCTGTGTACACGGAGGGGCCGAGGCTCTGCAGAGGGTCTGCGGGGGGGGCCGTGGACACGGACCCACAGCGGGGCTGGGGGCTGGCCCTGGGCACGGGCAGGGCCGCGGGGTCCGGGCAGGAGCCGCTGTCCCGGCGCGCCTCGGGCGGGGTCACCAGCACGTCGTCCTTCAGCTCCCCACCTGAGCAGAGAGCAGAGTCAGTGCCTGGCACACGGGGCAGCACCTCCACACCCACACGGGCTGCCCTGGGCTCTGAGGTGCCCCCGTGCAGGGGGTGTCGTGCCTGCTCCATGGGGAGGGAGATCCCACGGGCTCCAGCGAGGCCCCAGCCTGGTAAATCTCAGCACAGGGCCTGAGTTTGGCTTCTGAGAGACATATACCTGCATTTTTAAAAGTGCCATTTCTGTCTAAGTGAATGCCATGACTTCTGAGCAATGGCTGGTTTGACACAGTGTGGATGGGAAATATTTGACAGCCTGTGACATGAAAGATTAGAAAAAAGGAAATATGAAACTGAGCTGTTTGCTGACTTTTCCATTAACTAATCTTTATGACTTGCAAATGAATGAACTGTCATAATACCAACAGGAAACATCACCTTTCAGTGACAGATTGATAATTGCTACAAAGAAAGATGTAATGCATGTTAGTACCAGTCTGCTAGGAGAGGCTCCTGTACAAACAGATTTTACAGTGCCTTTGGAAGTGCCTGGGGAAGGTGACAGGGCTTCTCTCTGAGCTGGCAATATGAGGGGAGGGGATCACATACACGGAATCTGGTTGTATTTGTTAGGTCAAGGATGTGGACTGACTGATGGAGGACGAACTGGAGCATTAGACACAACTCTGAACAGAGAGGGGAAAAAAGATATAGTCTATTGAGTAGGAGAGGATATTTCCTCATACATTTATTTCCATTTATTTATTTGACTTCATGTCAAAACCAAATCCAGCTCAGGTCTCTAGCTGTGTTTGATCAGTGCACCTTCATGGACATGCAAGAGCTGCAAACTGACAGTGGTTACAGAATATACCACAGACACTGTCTGGAGGGTTTGCAGATTCTCAAGGGAGCAGGATGGGCCTGGGTTGCCAAGACCCCAATTCCATGTGAGAACAAGACAGTCTGTACCTGATTCTGTCACCTTCCGTAGGCAGCTCAGTGCCCCGTTGAGCCTGGAGCACTCCTCATCTCTGGCACCACACCTCTTCATTGTTTCCTTCACCTTTGACTCATTCATTTCTAGTAAGGCATCCAAGGTCAGCTCCTCTGGTATCCTCTGCAGAAAAACAAGGCACCTTTTTTTACTGTCCATATCTAAATAGGACTGTCACCTGTTGTTCTGGCATACTTTGAATAGTGCCCTGTCTCACTGCCTGGTCTGACTCATGATTTACTCAGTTTGGTAGTGCCCCTCTCTTAACAGATCCAGCAGTGCCCAACAGCTGCTCCCTGCCCCCTGCCCCATGTGTGAGTGTGCTCTGCAGCACTGGGGCTGGGCACTGGCTGGTATTTAAGTCAGGTTTAGAGGTGATTGAAATAGTCTTCTCCCCTACTGGAAAGCTTTCACTCAGTACTTTTGCAAAGCTACCAATGAAACAACTTTTTCCTAAAAATAGCAGTCAGAAACAAAACAGGCCTGAAACCTGAAAAAACGTCAGATAAAGATGTTTGGCTTTTTAGTAGTGAAGTGAAAAGCAGAAACAGTGAGGAAAATTACTTCTTTTCTTGAACACAAAAGAAATGTTTTGACAGAGATAGCGACCTCCTCCTCCTCCTGCATTTTTCCTCCATCAGAGAACCAGCCTTACCCGTATCCTGCCTGGAGAGATATTTGTGCAGAACTCCTACTACGTCTTAATACACCAAACCCCCCCAGAGATAAGGTTCAGATCAGGCAGACACAAAAGATACAAGAGCCTGGAAAGCACAAAACGATCTGGTATTTCCTGACACAGAACTGAGCTGGGTCTCTCTCTCTTCCCCCATTCAAATGTTTCCAGTGTAAGTCTGCAGCAATTGTGGTTAATAAACAAAACCAGGATATTTAGCCCAGATACCCAGGAATTTCCCTGAAAGTTCTGCCTAAACAAACCTCCCTGTTGCCCACTCTCACAATGAGATCACAAATTTCACAATATTTGGCCTCTTCTCTAAAGCTTCAGCTCCTGGAGTCAAGCTATATAAAAGGGTTTGAACTTTTATTTGAAGGGGAAACTCAAAACTGTGTCTCAGTGCCTGGAGAAACAGAATGCTGGAAATCCTCTAGTCCTTAAACCTCACTTCCGACTCCAAAGCAAATGTGAATGTGCTGAATGTCCTTTAACAATTGCATCTTTCTTAGTCCAGACTTGTGCTTTTGAGAGCTGACGCAGGACTTTGAGCTGTGACAGTGCTGAACAGCCCCAGCCTTTGGAGCTTTGGAGGTGGTAACACAGAGAGTAATCACAGAGTTTCCATTTTTAGTAACTGTGGCATGGAGCAATGAAAAAGAGTAAATTAAGAAAGGGCAGAAGTCTAAGAAACACATCCTGCATCTTCTGTCACATGCCCTGAGCTGGAAGAAACACAAAACACAGCTGACTCAAGGAGAGCCCAGGAATTTAAATGAGCAGCAAGCACAAAGCAGGGCCAGAGCAGAGCCAGAGTTCAATGAAGTTTGGATCGATTTTTTCCCATAATTAATCTTTGCAGAATAACAAAAGCACAGACATCCCAGCTGATGCTGGGTATTATTACTCATTTTTCTGCACACCTGCAGCATCGCAATGCAGGAGTAAGACTACCCCCAAAAAGCCCATTCCTGAATGATTTCCACTTGGATAAAATGCAGGAAGCTCAAAGACTCCAGTAAAAACACAGTGCAAAATCTATCTCCTGGGAACTTGCTCTGATATCACACTCCAAAGGACAACATCCCAGGGGTCTGGATGCTCAGAGTTGCACCCGGGATGGGTTTGCACAGCTCCAACACTGCAGCACGAAGGCAGCACAGGTTTGCCCACACAGAGCCCCAGAGAGCTGGGCTGGGAACAACAGAACTGCCCCAAGTCCTTCCTACAGTCTGTCCTTTCCCCAGCATCCCCTGAATTCCTCTCCCTGGATTCTCACAGCAGCAGCTTTGTCCTGCCAGGCAGGGGGCAGGCCCTTGGCAACACGAAAAGGGACCAGGACAAAGGTGGGCCGAGGTTTAGTGCAACATGGAGACAGCTCTTTACCCCACCCCAGGTGCCCCTGGCTCTGGAGCAGGGAAGCCAATGGTGCCCTGTTAAGTGTAAGGGAAAACAGTGTCTCACAAAAACATTTATCCCATTTCATGCTGTCACAGTCTCGGAGTAAGCGCGATTACAGTGATGTAATTTTTGAATTATCTTGAAACATTTCCTCACCCCATTAAGAAAACAACCCTGGCTACACAGCCCTTGTTCTAGGCAGCAGCCTCATCCCAGATCCCAGCAGGAGCTCCCCAGCCCTGTTGTCACCCAGGATCCCCTCACCTCCCAAGCCTTCCTGCCACACATGTAACCAGTAACTTAGAGCTGTCAGTGAGTCAGTTGGTTAAGTGGAAGAAACCTGAGGTTTCCTCAGGAAAGCAGAGCTTTCCCCCCACTGCCAGTGGCAGCTGGAATGCAGGGCCAGCTGGGGTGGGACTGGTGGCAGGACCATTGGGGATCTGGTTTCTCCAATGCCTGTTCTGTGGCAGGAACCAGCCTTCCAGCTGGATCAAGGATTCAAGCCTTCCTCATTGCAGAGAAAACCTTTGAAAACAATTTTTAAAAGACACCAAACTACTGAGCTCTTCCGAGTGTCAGGGACTTTTCCCTTTGTCCATCCATTTGCAGGACAGTCTCTGAGGGGGGCTCCAAGCCTGAGCTCACTGCTCTGTGCTCTCAGCTCAGTGTGTGGCCTGGGATGGTCCAGCTGAGCAGCAGAGCCCCCCCAGCTCTGCACTCCCAGCACACAGACCCTGACAGAGGGGCCTGGGCCCACAGGCAAACTCCAATCTACTCTTTTGCTCAATCGTTTAATTTTATAAAGACCGAATAGCGAGTTGTAGGAAAGTATAAAGTACAGAAAAGGAGATTATATTTAAACAATCCCAGTGACCTTGAGCTGGGAGAGCTCAGACTTTCTGAACCTGCTGCCAGCCCCCATGACACGCGACAAAAGAAATAAGCCTTCACCGAGGGGGAGGGAGGGGCAGTAAGAGGCTTTCTTTAAACAGCCACTCATGTGCTGCACATATGTGGTGGCTTAATATAAAACTGGCCAACCTGATCCCTGTAAGATTGGCCTGCAATGCTTTAGCTCTGTGCTAGCCCCCAGCCAGTGTGACAGGAGGAGGGTCACTAGTTCAGGGGGCTCTGGGAACAGGTTCTGCTGCTGCCCTGGCTCAGCTGTTGTGCTGGGGGGAGAGTGGCCCCCGTGAAGGGCCCTGACAGGGTCCATTGCAGAGGGGCATGTGGTGGGCCCCAACCCCTCAGTGCAATTCTGGGTCCTTGCACAGGGGTTACCCCCAGCACTGAGGGTGAGAAATGTGGGTCCATCTGACCTCTCTTTACTTCACTACCCTTTACTGCTTCTTCAGTGGGTGCTGAAGCTTCTCAAAAAAAAGCTTTAAAAATGCAGGTTAAAGGCTTGCATTAAAGCCAAGCTCAACACCACCTCCTTGGGCACACCTTGCCTTGACAAAGGAAGCTGCAAAGTACTCAGATAGTATTCTAATAATAAGGTCAGATTTAATTAGGAGAGAAAGAGCAGGAGAAGACAGAACCTGCTTTCAATCTCCAGCACCTCAGTAAATCTAAAGCCGTACCACAGTAAGGCTTCTGCTTGGCAGAAGTGATGCTAAAAAGCCCAAACCAGGAAATCACTCCTCTCTACAAGAGGTAAAAGGACTTTCCTATAAAGCCCTCCCACTTATCAGACACAGACTGCACTTAATGGGACACGTTTGAAGAGAGCAGAGTGAGTACCACTGCATCCAAGGAGCCATCCAAGGGTTAGCCTCAATTAGTCTGGGTGAAGAGTTCACACAAGTCTTTAATCTTGTCTGGTGTCCAACTTAAATCCCTGAAACATGGCAAAAATGCTGGTATCTAACACAGTGGAGGGGTTATTTTTGGTAAAGATTCCACCCTGCAGATAAGCCTATGGAGCTAATGCTGCTGCTGCACTCTGCAAAATCAGCCTGACCTGCTCCTCGACCCAGTAGCCACAGCTCTTCCTGTAAAGCTGGACAGTTGTCAAGGCCCCAAATGCCTCCTCTCAAATCAATACATTCCCTCTCCAATCATCCTCCCGTGAAGCAGCAGATGCTGGAAGAGAAAGCCCATTACATAAGGTGCTTAAATTCCCACTGATAGCTCTAAGCAAAGCATGTAAAGATGCTCTTAAGAACATCTTGTGCCTGCTAGTTGTTATTTTGCTCTGGTTTTCTGGTGCCTGGGGAAGATGGTACTGAAAATTGTTGCATTATTAAATTCCTGGAGATTTTATGGGCATTCTGGAAAGCCTCTCACATGAAATTTCCAGCCTGCATTAAGCTGTGAGCATAACCAGGCTACGGTTTCACCTGACATCACCCTCCTCGCTGGCTCCCCTCGCAGCAGGCGGGTGAGAGGAGCTGCCAGGCTCGGGGCATTCCCTTCCCCTGGCTCTCTGGGACAGGACTGCTGCTGTCACTACTTCTGTGGAAGGCAGAGGTAGCAGTTGCAGACCCCGAGGGAGAGCAGGAGCCTGGGGCCGACCTCAGGCCATGAATGATTCACCTGAACAAGGCTGCCAGGGGCACCTGCACCCTTGGCAGGGGAAGGGAACCCTTGCAGTGGGAGAGAATATTTTCCAAGAGCTGTTTACATTGGGGAGGGACCTTCAGCTGGAACACAGTGATGGAGTTTTAGCTCAAGGAAGCCTGCAGGACAGAGTTAATCTGCACATACACAATTAGCACATCCAGGATCTCTGCTATCTGGTGGTCCAGTCAGAGCTCCTGCTGCCAGACCCATGGAAATCCCCAGCAAAGAGCCACAGTCCTCGTGGCCTGTTCATGCAGATATGCTGACAGACAGAGATGGGAGGATACAGCTGTGGAAACCTGATAGGCTTAGGCAGATCTGCCTCTTCTATCCCCATCCAAAGCAAGGATGCACACACAGAAAACCCTCAGCACTGCTCTGACAACTGATCTGCTTCAAGCTGGACCACACTCCATGCAAACAGCACCCTCTGCCCTGGGCTCGTGGTACCAACCCCTGGCCAGTGGCTCATCCTCTGCAGATTTTCCCAGGGGCAGCAGGAGACTCTGAGCAGACAATTCCTGCTCAAGGCATGAGCTCTTCCTGCTCTGCTCCCCCTGTGCCCAGCGTGCCCCTGCCTTGCTCAGCTCTGCTCTGACAAGCAGGACTTGGCCATAAATGAGGAAGGAGATGGGCTCCACAGGCAGGCAGCAGGTCCCATAGGAAGGTACCTACACTGGAAGTCAAATACATCCCCCAGGTGGAACAGCCATAAACCAGCCACAGCCACAGCACTGCTGCCTCTGCTCCCACAGCCCCCCTGGGTGCACAGCCCTGCTGCTGGATGGCAGCTCCTGGTCAGGATGTGCCTTCCCCGTGCATGGCAGTCACCCACTCTAAAAACAGCCTTCCAGGCTTGACTGACACCCACCCCTGCTCCATGGCCAGCCCAGACATGCTTTGCAAGATGGTAAGGAGATGACTGTTCTTAAGTTACTTTTTAAGACAGTGACAAGTTACATGTGGGAACAAATACAAGTTATGTTTCTGGGAAGGACAACATAAAGGCAGAGAGGATTGCTTTCTGTACTGAAGAAAATAAGCCAACAGAGATTTTTTTTAATCTCCTCTTTTGGTAGACATGCCCCAAGCCCAGAACCCAGTAAATAGCTCTGCAAGAGGCTTCTTCCATCAGCTTAAGAGTGGGGACAGTGCTCTGTTCTCATCCTCCTTCCCTCCTGCTCCCCCCTCAATTCCCAACTCCAGGTCCCAAGGGGAACAGGACAATCCAGATCAGTGTATTTTTGTAGGGTCATTTTCAGAGCAACTTTTATCCCCCTGAGACCACTATATAGCATAAACATACCTTCTGTCTGTAAGGTTCCTTGTCCTGTCTTTTCTAGATCTCAGTTTAAGTACCTCCTTGCCTGGTTTCAATCCACCATATTTAACCATTTTCACTATTAAACCACACATACACAGTGCTAATCAATCTCTAGAACTCCTAGCCAAAAACAAGGACTCCAGCATTTCTTAAAAAAAAAAAAATCCCTAAAAAGCAAGTTAGAGCCCAGTGTGAGCCCAGCTCCAAAGCAGAGCCTGCTCCACACGGCCACCATTTGCTGTGATAAACATCTGTCTGGAAACCGAGCAGAGGAACAAGAACAAAGCAACAGGAACAGCACAGGCTGGGGTGGGGGTTCACAGTTTCTTACCCCTCAGAACTGTGTTCACAGAGAGCAAACAGGAGCCCAGAGCCCAGGCTGGTGTTCCCCACGTACCTGCAGGGCCGCCGGGCCGGCGCAGCCCAGCCCTCGCACCGCGCGCAGCGTCACCGGCTCGCTGCTGTCCCTGCCCAGGGCAGCTTTAGCTCTTGCCCAGCGCCATAAACAGTGCATTGTCAGCGCTGTAATCTCTTCCAGAACTAAAGGGTTTTACAAGCAGTCATTATTCTTGTTTTAAATATAGGTTTTCAAAGAAATAAAGGAGCCCAACGAGAAGGCGGCAGTTAGAATTGCCAGAGCTTCGGAGCGCTCGAGCTTCGCAGTGTCTAGAGCAAGTCACTGGGCAAAAATAGTCTTCACTCTGGAGTGGAGGAGTCAGCAGATATTCTAAATTGGAGCTGGTGCTCTATTTCTGACAGGAGAGCCTGGGAGCTTCTGTGCTTCCCTGCATGGCAGCTTTATTTGGGAGAGGACTGGGGGGGGTGAGGGGAGGGGAGGGGAGAGAGAGAAACAGAGCATTGTTTCCCTCACCACTGAGCCAAAGAACTCTTGCAATTAGGCTGCTTTTCAAAGGTGTTATGTCACAGATTAGCACAATCTTCAAAATACTCCTTCCAGCAACACCAGAAATGCAAAGGGAATCAGAAACCTTTAAAAAAGCAAAAAACCCATGAACTCAGGCCTTTCTCCTGATCTGTCCCTGACAAACAGGGTGCCCAGAGAGCCTTCCACCTGCACCTCCCCCTGTGCTGTGCCTGCTGCTCTGGTCAGCTCTCAGGTCAGCTCTCAGGGCAGCCCCTGGTGCAGCTATTCTGAGACTCTGCAGGTACTTGGCAACTCCTCCAACTAGTTGCAGAGCCTAAAAGGCCCAAGAAGAGAGGGCTGTGTGCCTACATGAATACACTATGACAACACTTGTGGGGTTCTCCTTCCCTCTGTAGCACTTTTTGGAAGCCTTAAGAAGGAAACCCAGTATGGCTATTTCCATTTTACAGTGAGCTGAGAGTATCTGAGAGCTGGGAAGCTGTTCCCAGTGTCCCTTGTACACAGAACCAGGCAGGGACTTGAGGGTCTCCATTTTCACTGGGTGAGCTGCTCAGCCATCTCTGTAAAGGCTCCCCCCCAACTCTCCCCCCAGTCCTGTCACAGGCTGTGTGCACAAAGCAGGAGACCATTCTAAAGGATGTAATAACTAATCTATTAAAGCTCCTGCTGTCTGTGATTTCCATTTTGAAAGCTTTCAGCCGAAATGCAGTTCAACATGCTCTATGAAATCTAAGCAAGAGCAGGGATGATCCCATGATACCTGTGACATTCCTGAAAGGTAGCTCATCCCAGACAGCTCCCTGCACTGTGCTGATGGCAGTGTCAAACACCAACAGTGCTGCATTGCTATTTTCTGGGCAGTGCAGTAACAGGACCAAAAAAAAAGCACTGCAAGAACAGAGCACTTAGTTTATTAGCCCATCTATTTCCACTTCTCACAGCCTGTCCCACATGGCTACTCAGAAATCATTTTAATGACCCATCAGGTGCTGCAGTTCTCTTGTCCAGCTAATACAGATGCTACAGAAGCTGTTTGCAGCTGCTTGAAATGGATGCAGAACTCTTAAAAACTAACCATACATCTGGAATCCCAGAAGAATTTCAGTGCTTTGTACACCTCTTGTAATTCCCTCCCAGAGAACAAAAGGAAGAGTTCCCTACACTGGGCACTGCCTGGGAGGGGGCAGCAAGAGAGCACGAATCAAAATAAGAAAGAGCTGGAGAATTCCTCCTGCCTTAGACCAAACCCGAATTTGTTCACCCCTTTTAGTGACCACACACACTGAAGGGCAGTCCCAACCCTCTCTGCTCCCTGAACTAGCAGGATGGGGCAGATTTGAACTGTCCACCTCCCTCCCCCCTTCTCTTCACCTCCTCCCTGCCCCCAGTTCTGCAGGCACCACAAAGGATTTATAAAAGAGCTACAAAGACATTCTTTTAGGCTCAGGCAGTTCCAGTAACCTTAGAAACAACACTAGCTGGGAGCCTGGCAGCTTGGCCACGGCACAGGCTGCTTTTATCCTCTCTTGTCACTGCTGCACCTTCAGCTGTGCCACCCAAAACCTCGCTGGGCTGGAAGGCAATACCAGCACCACATTCAAAATGAAGAGTAGGAAATAAAAGGAACAACTCGGTCCTGAACTCATCCCGTTTCACCAGAGACCACTGGAATAATTCCCATGGAAATCTGTGGAATTTTTCACTTGGGCAGATTCCTGCTGAAGTCAAACAAAATTTTTGGTTAAAGATCAAAGGAAGCTGAATGAGAACACTGTGACCTGGCCTACAGAGGCAAAAACGGGAAAAAGAATGGAAAAAACCTTTTCTGCCTTGTTTAGCTGTGAGTGGACTGAGCTCTGTGTGTGTAATTGTAATGTTGGTTCTGTTTTGGCTAATGTGACACAGAACATAGTGTGGCAGTGTACTGTTATTATCTAAAAGGTAGTAATGATTAAGTGGTGCAGTTGTTCTCAGACCCAGGGGGCAGGAGAGGAGGCCCTGGTGGTGCAGGACTTTGGTCTCACCCTGAGCAGTAGGTGTGAGTGTTGCTTCCAAGGCTGGAGTGAGGAGATGCCCAGGAACTCTGGGAGGAGGACAGTGGGAAGGGAGGGTTTCAGCACTGCTCTGGGAAGAGAGGAAGCTCCCTTCCCACCACAGGTCCCCCTGTGTACCCACACCCTCTCACCTTGCCCGAAAGTTCAGGAACTAACTTAAAGCCAGCAGGCAGCCTGGAACGTTCTGGAGAGCCAGGAGGGCTCTGTGCTGAGGGCTGCCTTCCCCTCCTTACCTGCACGACCTCCTTCCTCACGTTGACGATGTCCAGCCAGTCGTGGAAGCGGGGGTAGCTGTTGAGCTCGGCCGTCCTGTCGCTCAGGGGCACGCTCAGCTTGCACTGCCGCTGCCGGTGGATGTAGTCGATGAGCTTCACCTGTGGGGACAACACAGCCCAGCCTCAGGCCCTGGGACACTGTCACCCCCCAGGCAGGGCTGGTGCTAAGGGCTGCTGGGGTGTGAGCAGGGCTCCTTCAGGACAGAACACCGACATACTCCTCTGAGCACTCAGGGGAATCCATCCAGTGCATCTCCCTCACTGCGAGCAGCTCTGCTCTCCAACATTCCAGCACAAGGCAGAACCCTGCAGGGCCCATCCCTGCAAGACTCTGCTCTAAACCCCCATCAACAACAGTGCTGTGCAGAGCCTGAGTGTCTTGCCAAAATACACAAGGGATCCCAACCGTTTGAAACAATGAGTTACATTCATTTGAAGGCACTGCACATGTCCACAGGACCTCTCTGGGGATGCTGTGGGCAGCACGAGCCCAACCTGCAGGACCATCTGCCTGCTCGTCCCTTGGTCCTGTGTGTTTGTTGAATTCTCTTACATCTGGTCTTCATTTGGTCTAGAAGATCAGTGAGGCAGGAATAGCCAAAGTACCCAAAAACTCCGAGGCTGTTATCTGATGGGCATTCCTACTAAAAAAATCAACATTAAAAGCAGTTAACTTAAAAGAACAAAAATTCAGGCAGTTGGACTAGCTGATTGCTGACCATCTTCTATTCTAAAGTTTTATTCCAAAGCTTTTATCACCTGACCATCTCGTGGCAAATGCACTACACAGAATTCTTCACTTTGGGCACAGAAGAATAAGACAGCAAGAAGGAATATTATTTGTGTCTGATGTTTGCTCACCAGAAAGCAAATACTCTCCAAAGATTGCTCACTGTCACACATTCCTGTGGGGCAGGTTTAAGCTTCAAAACCTTCCTAACAAAACAATGCCTTAAAGCAAGTTAGTTGATCCGTGATTTATAAACCAAAACATGTTCTTAGTCAACAAATTTTACCATTTGGGACAAGATCAGACTAAGAATGTAAAGAAAAAAACAAACATGGATTCTTTGGCCATTATAATGTGTCTCCTCTTAGGGTTCAAGTGCTTTCCTATGAAGCTAACTGAGGGTTTGTGTTATGAGCAATCCAACCCCTCACACCTTATCAGGTGTAACAAGTTTGTCTCTGCCCACACGCTGAACTCTGACAGCAGTGCCGTGCAGTTTGAGATTTATCAAAAAGTGTGTGAATCCCAAAGTGATCCAAAGTCCCCCTGCCATGCCCACAGCGAGGCACAGCAGCACCATTCCCAGGAGAGGCAGCTGTGCAACACAGGACTGCTGCCCAGAAACTCAGCCATCCCTCCTCATCCATACTGACCAGCCTGCTGACACCAGAGGAACCTTTTCACCACAACTTCCTAACATGGCTTTGGAGCACAAGGCCTACAAGAAATTACCTTGGAAATCCCACTCAGTTGTTCTCAGTCTCAGTACCTCTTTTTACATAAAGGAGCTGACAGCACTTCCTTTTTTACCCCCTTGTCTGGTTCCTCTGGCCAGACCCCAGGCTGCAGGGCAGGGCAGGGTGAGCCAAGGCCAGCTGAGCTCTGGAGGGACTGGCCCTGGGCTCAGCAGGGCCATGGGCACCAGGGGCTGTCACAGGCACCAGGGGCTGCCACGGGCCCGTGCCCTGCACCAGGCAGAGCCAAGGCAGCCCGTGTGCTGGGTCAGCAAGGTGTGCTGGGGCAGGTGTGACTGAAACACTGCTGGTACCTGTGCTCCAGACCTGCTCCCAGCTCTCCTCCCTCCACACCTTCAGCTGAACAGGGCCCTGAACTCCCATGGCCCTGGAGGACAGGAGCTTGGTTCCTTCAGTCAGCTCAAGAGCAGGGAGGGGGCACACACATGTCACCAGCTGCCTTAGTTGTGACCTTCTGCTTCCTCATTATCACACATCCTTTCCCACAACAGCCTGTCCAGAGAGCTCTCCTGTTCACAGCCGTGTTGGAAAGGGGCTTGGAGATACTGTTCTGAGTACTTTCCTGCTAAGAGCTTGGTTTAAATTTTCTTTCTTGGTGTGCTTTTTGTACTCTGCACCTGCCTGGCACAGCTGGGGGAACCCCCACATCAGGGAGCTGGAATTAGTCTCCCACAGCTAAAGCAATTGTTCCACACTTTAGACTGAACACTGTCATGGATCCTGACTGTGATGTTTGTCTATCTGTCCTAAAATTCCATTTTACCAGGAGAAACCTACATTCTCAGTGTTGGGGTTTTGTTACACTCAGAATATTTGACTGTTTTTAGTGCCTCCAAATGTATCATGTTTGCTTCCTGACTTTTTCCCTCAGAAGACATTAGGGAGGGAGAGATTAGAATGAGAAAAAGGGACTTGGCTGCAGGTAAAGACAGGGACAGGAGAGTCAAAGCCCTGATGAGAGAGGTCTCTTGCTCTCAGGGAAGAGGGTCTTAGCAACCCAGTGGCTGCAGCGAGGTTAACCAAAAACATGGATTGGGAATGGTGGTGATAGGAGCAAGGAAGAACTGGTATGAGTGGATGGGCAAGGGCCAAAGACAGACAGAGGCTGCAGGAAGTTTGAGGCCTTCTCTTCTCAACAGCCCCCAGCATGCCAGAAATCAGCCCCCACAAATGAAACCCAGCTTCCCAACTGTGCAATAGCTATGTCATGGAAAAGAGAAGGAAGACAAGAATCACCCAAGCCTTCTCCTCTTCCAGAGGCCACCTGGAGGAAGGGTCAATGCCAATATGCATTTTGATACACAAACCACAACCCCAACATCCCACTGAAGGCAAACAGCTCCCCTGTGTTTGTGAGCCATGGGATTCCCAGGGCACTGTGCTGTGCTGTGCTGCTGCCCCTGGGCCACCTCACCCTCCCCATTCCCAGGCACACCTCAGGGCCATGGAGCACCAGGGACAGAAGCAAGTGATTTTGGAACTGGCACAGCCTGTGTGTAAAGCAGCAGCTCAGCTCTGCAGTCTGACTGTAACCTGTTATTTTAGTGTAGGATCTCCCATCAGGCAAGGTTTATTTTTCCTGGAAGAAGGGCTGGGAGCTAGAGATCCACACTCAGTTATATGGAACACTAATTATAAGCAAATGCCCTAAAAGCAGCACATGATCCAGTACAAAGCAGGGAACTGCAAGCACAGAAGGTGTCGGAATCTGTTCCAAGAAGGCAGGAGGGATTTAGCATCTATGTATAAATGAAAAATCACAAATTAGGTAAAGAAATGATCCAGAAATATTTGCCCCACATTGTCCTATTCCAGTGAGCAGTGTCTGAGGACAGCATGCTGCTTTGAGGCAGGTCACTGCTGAGGGACAGTCACTACTCCTGCATTCCCCACCACCAGTTCTCCCCACCAACCTCAGTGTAACACCAGAAGCATCACGTCACAGAGCTGGGCTGCACTCCTGGCTCTGCCACTGACCTGCTGTTTGACCAGAGGCACATGAACCAATCTCTCCCTCCCAGGAACTCCCTGGAGCAGGCACTGGCTTCAGCTATTTTCATACTGCTTAAAAAAATACAGGTTCCTTTCACTTCCCAAGTCTCATCCATGGCCCCAACTCCTAAAGGACACTGCTGGAAGGGACTCTATGCAGCACAGATTTCAATGTCAAACTTTTCTTCTCTGTTGGGATGTAAGAAAACAACAATTCTCCAAAATGGACAAGCAGTCTGACAACAAAGATCTTAGTGTCTTAGATGGCCAAGGCTGGTTTTCCCAGGATAACTCCTTTGCATTTACTCCTCAAGTCCAAATTTGTTTTCTCCTAGTCCTATAAATAGTATATTTGCATTCTCTTCCCACCCTCCATGCACCACGCTTCTCCCCTAGGATGAATTTCATTTTGTTATTTCCTGCCCAGACTTTTAACTAAACTACATGGTTTGGCTTTAATAGCTGAGCTGTTGCAAAACCCTTTTCTGAGAATATAATAAAAATTCTGGGTTCAGTGACGCACATAAAAACCCACAACCAGCACGCAGGTCTCCAGCCACAAACTAGACTGAGAGATAAAGCCAATAGCAGCTACTCACTGCCTGCTTGCTAAATGGCACGTCCTACTCAGCACAAATGGCAAACCCCACACCAGAAGCAGCAATACTCCAACTGCCTTAAACCCAGAGAGCTGGGAAAGGACAGGAGCTGAGCCAGGAGCAGCTGGAGCAAAGTGCTGTTCCCAGGGCAGAGCCCTCCTGCTCTGGCTGCTGGCCAGGACAGCCAGACCTCACTTGCTCTGAGAGGTGCACGTGCTGCAAGGTGCTCCTGGATGCATGTTCATCTCCCTGCAGCACTTTTAAAATACCCCTTTACAGCACAGATGAGAATCAGGCCCCAGAAGTTTAGGAGAAAACTGCCACGCTTGTACTTTTTTATTTATTCATACAAAATAAACAGCAGCTCTCTTGAGACACAAGTTTGCCCATATCCATGACCTCAAGCCAACAGTTGGGACATTCAAACAACGATAAACAAAGAGCAAACACCAGCAAGTTTTCCAGCTGCAGTCCTGCAGCCATGGCACAGGAAAGCAATGGCATCTGTACAACCACAGACAGCACAGAATTCAGGAGATATTGCAAGGGTGAGCTGGAAGAATTCTGTATTCAAACTGCAGCCCAGGTATTTCTGACCTCTGGTTAATTGATCAGAAATCACATTCCAACTTAACATTTGTCAGACAAAGTTAATAGTTATGGTGCCTCACCAGAGAAATTACGTTTCATGCATTTGGGGGTCAAGCCTCTCCCAGCTTCTGGTCGATTATGTTTTATTCATGTTTAGAAAAGTGGCATCTTGTTCCAGCAGTCATTAAAAGGCATTAACCCATTGCAGCTTTTGCACTTGGCCAAAACCTAATCAGTCTGAAATCAATGCACTTGATCCAAATACACAAGGAGAAAGGAGCAGAAGCTAAAAGTTTGCCTTTTTCGTAGCTTATTCTCATGCTTTTAATCCACGTCTTGAAATACCCTCTAAATGCAGCAAAAATAATTCTTTTCCATTAAAAAAACAAAAAGGGAAAACCAAGGCACAGAATGGAAATTATAAATAAAACA